GTGCACACATGAGCCAAGTCCAATAGTTAAGACAAGCAAATGGTCTGAAATGGGGCGTTGGAGCGGGTCAACGATGCGAGATGACAACGTTTGGAATTAGATGATACATTTGTGGAACAATTGTATAATAATTACCAATCGTAGTAGATAAATATTATGTAAACTCAGTTGTATTGCAGGAGAGTAAGATGACGTGTATTGGTTTGTTTTGTATTGCATTGAATCTTGTATTAGTTTTACAAGGGTTGAATGAGGGAATATTTATAGTGGTACAAATGGAATGGTGGCCCTTGGATGGGAGTACACGTGCCCTCATATCCTTAATTCATATATTTAATCCTAGGCATCATTTCTGACTTGCTAGTTCGCTGTACATTTATTAACTATGCAAAGCCGCCACTTTATTTTATAAGACTTGATACTTACAGTCCATGAAAAACGTTCCATCAATCATTCAAAAAAGATATTTGTACAGAAGCAGACCTCTTGGAAGAAGTGATTGTGGAAGGGGCTTCGGTGGTTTCAGCTTCGGCATAGGGGCCTTGGAGGCTACTGCCTTGGCTAATGGTCTTCGGGCATCATGATGCTGAGCCTCAGTTGAAGTCCTAACTTCGGTTGCGTTTTATGCCACTTTGACTTTACGAAATCAATCACCGTGTAGTGTGCTTCGAATTGAGCGGGCCAAGATCTATAGTGGGTCCGACTACGTGTAGCCACGCGTGACAAGACAGAACAAAAATGTAGGAAAAAATTATGAATAAAAATGAAAATTGATTTTTCAAAAAACATGGGATTGAAAATAAATGTAAGAAAAGTTATTTCAAATAATCAAAATCTAATGAGAGCTAACTGTTGTGGAAGTGATATCTTGCACAATTGGTGCTATAAAACCTATTTAGGTGACGTTGTGTGATAAATTCAATGAAAAACAAAATTAACTAACTCATTAAATTGTATCCCCTCCTTAATGTTACATTATTGCCACTTAAATAGGCATTTTAACTCTAGTGATATTAAAATAGAATTACTTTATTTTAGAAGTTGGTTTATTTTTGAATCATATGTTGTTAAAATGTAAGTAAAAAATTATGTGAAAATGTGAAAATAATTTTTCAATAATACGAGGTTAAAAATGAGTGTAAATAAAAGTAATTAT